AGTCTCTGTCCAGCCCAACAACCACACCTTCACTTTTTTTCAGTCAGGTCAACCTAATCTTCTCTACAGGCACATGTATAAAATGTTCTGTTAAAGAAACACCCCCTCCCCCCAACCCCCCCTGAACTGAAGCATCCTTGAGAACCTGATAACATGTATATTTTTTTATATATTTTTATCTGTAGAAACCACTGTATGAGCTGCTGCCACCTAGTGACTGGCAGCTCCATTGGAGGACCCTCACACCAAGCACCTCTCCACCCCACGGGGGGGCCCCCGCCCCACATCTTCAGAAGTACTGCTGTAAGGTAACATTAATAAGGCCTGATTGTTTACCGTCGTCAGAGGAGCGAATCTCTGCTGCCTTCTGGAGCAGTGGCAGACACATCTGAAAAAGAAAATGTTAACAAACAGGTTATGTACCAACTGCAGAAGTTGAAGCTGCAGATCAACCTCTTAAAGAATGTATTTTGTCACACATCTGTCCAACTGTGGGTTTTTTTTAATATCAATTATTTAGAAACTGTAGAAATGCTTGAGGGTTGTTGTATCTGCGTTATTTCTGTTACTGCAGGTCAAACTATATGTACACATGAGCTCAGGTGTTAATAATTACATACAACGCCACAAAAAAGAGGCGGGACAGGAAGTAAACAATGAGTGATTGAATAACATCTGCTGCGCTTAAAACAGGTCATCCCAGTCGAATGGAATTGTTAAAAGGGTTTGGTGTGAGCAGTGGAGTCTGTCTTTGTCTTTCTTAGTCTCACATGTCAAATCCTTACATCATATATATTACATCTATGTAAGACATCTATATATTCTGGGCCTCAGAATGGCTGAAAAGAAAGAAAAGTTGTAGGAGGTGACCACGACCTGATTTAATGGCAGGATTTTTTTTTTTTTTAATCACCAGGGTGTATCTATGTTTTTTTGGTTGAAGAGTTCTGTTGGGCAAGAAGCCTCTTGGACGAGAGGTGAAAGTTTCACGTCCAGTTGCCTAACAGAACTCTTCAACCGTGACCATGACCTGGATGACTGACAATCTTCAGAGACATCTCTGTGTTTTTTTGCTGTACGGGGTTTGAGTTTTCTCTGGAGACTGTCCACGATTGTCCAGTTGTCCTCTACTTAACTGGTTTGGATACAAAAAAACATCACGAACGACCGAGAACCTAGATGGCCGTGTTGTTCTACAGAAGACAACTCTGCAGCTTATTTGAATAAATGAGTGTTTTTTTTTTAATTCCCTATTAGCCCCCCCTACAGATCAGGGAAGGGAAGCTACATGTCCAAAGATGCCATTCATAGACTACCATTACAACTGAACTAAAGTGTGTACTTCAGTGTCATGTGTCACAGTGCGGTGGTGTTAGGAAGGACGAGCCGACCTTGGAGATCAGAAACGGTCCAGCCACGTTGATTTCGTATGACAACATCATGTCCTGTTTCCCTGTGGCGGACATCAGGGCGGGTCTTTCTGGCATATTGACGGCAGCGTTGTTGATGAGGAGGTTCAGCCCGGCAGCTCCGACATGTGCACTGACAACCTGGACAGCTGATACCACACTGTCTTCATTTGAGACATCTGCAGATGGACATGTTAAAAACCGAGTTAATGCAGAGGCGTCAGTCCAAGACTGTTGTTTTGGCAATTTTGTTGCCAAACAACTGGTCTGTACGAGGGTAAGTCACATTCATAGTGACCTGGGTACATATGTAAATAATTGGGCTGAAAACTATTATTAATTTATTGCATATATTTTTTTTTTGCCAAAGCAGGAAAGGCTTTGAAAGAAGAGTCTTTCTTCAATTCCTGCCAGTTCATTACATATACATTTTTGTGAGATCTTTGTTTGGTGGTGTGTCGTGGGGGTTTTCCTGATGATATATATGTGCCGTGGCTCAAGAAATGGTGGAGACGGCCTGAGGTAAATGAAGTAAAATTTACAAGGATTTCCTATTGGACCATCAAACATGACAAGTATATCCACCCTGTGATTTTTAGTGAGCTACTGGTGTATAAGTGGACAATGGTGTTCTGTGCAGTAACATTGCCTTTGTTTTCTCTTTTTTCCCCTGCAGCTACGATGAAACGCGAAGAAGAAGAAGACTGCTGGGGGAGGGTTAGGATCAGCTCGTGGGAGCAGACAGACTACGTCAAGGTACGTCACTAAATATAATATTTATTTTCAGCACAAAGTGATCTTAAAGTTAAGAATTTCATTTGGACCAATGTTTTATGATTTATTTTATGTTGTACTAAAGACCTCACTCTGTGTTTTACAGCGCCCCCTGTAGTGGAGAAAGGTGAGCTACATACTTGTTTGCATTTGTGAACAAAACCATGAAATGAGCTGTGAGAGTGTGGTGTGTTTACCTAGTTTGATTAATGTGATCTTTCCAGGGTACTGAGTCACAAGTTCCTTCAGGGCCTGGAAGAAATAAAAGTGACATGAAAGTGAGTCCATGAAATGGTGGAGTGGAGAAGAAGAGCTTACTCCGGAGTCGAGGATGAAGTTGGAAGATGTTGGGGATCGACATTCATGTAAGGGATTCTTTTAGTTTGGACATTCAGTTTGGACCCAACCCCCCCCCCCCTGGATGGAAGGTGCCCACCCCCCACATTACAAAATTTGGCAATGACATAGAAGGAAAAAAGTTTTTTCTTTTTTTTTGTAAGCTCCGTGTCATCCTGTCATAAAATGCCACCGTGGGCGGCCATATTGGAACCCCATTTCTGACGGTTCTACACAGTTCTGCATTAGTAAGAACAAATCAAATTCTGTCTCTGTTACGGACAAACATCCACCAAGGACGGATCCTTGACTTTGGAAAATGTCTTTGTTACGTAACAGAGCGCCACCTGAGACGGTTCCAGTTCAACCTTCTAACAATACTTACACTTTTGGAGTGATCAAGAGGAGTGGGGGGGGGGGTACTGTTCGAGGAAGTTTGCTTTAGTTACGTAACCAAAGGAAACGTGTGACTGACAGAAGGTGAACCTTAGGCATATGATTCATACACTTAGACATTTCATTAGTATTCACCTGGGATTTAGTGGTAAAATCGACACATGTGCAGGAGTTCATTACACACACGGAGAAGCCGTAAAAGAGCTCACACACTCCCCTTCACAGTAGATGTGTGTGTGTTCCTGGTACAGCTATACATGTAGGGACCTTTTCTACAGAACACTTTGTCCCTGTGGGGACAGTTTCCCAGATCTCTACTGAGTGAGAGGGAATTTGAAGATTGAACATTCAGTTTGGAGTGTAGACATGAATTAGGATTAGGATTAGGATTAGACGCATATTCATAGTAGTTAAGGTTAGGGTCGAGAGCTCGAGAATTGGTTATGTTTAAAATGCAAAGTCTTTTGTGTGTGTGTGTGTGTGTGTTTGTGTCTGACCTCAGCCCTGCTGCCCTCAGGCTCCCTGCAGCAGGCGTAGATGTGACTCCTCTGTCCCGTCCTCTCAGCCAGCATTTTGACCAGGTCCAGACCGATGCCTCTGTTGGTGCCGGTCACCAAAATGTTGCCGTCCAGTTCCACCGACATGTTTGCTGCACCGTGAGCCTCAGCTGCCGTCTGACTGCTCCCTCCCTGTTGCAGTACTGTTACTCCTGACTGACTGCGTGACTTATAAATACAGTAGGTGGAACAAACACACCCTCCTTACTGTTTACCTTGATCAAACAGGTGATAAGAACAGTGTCTGATATTGTTTGTCCCAGAACTTATTACTATTATTATCATTACATTGTTCAGGAAGTCCATATTAAACAAGCAGCTCTTTGTATTACTAAGTGCCCTCCTTGAAGTAGCGCTCAGTTTCAGAAAGGTCAGTGACCCCTGGCCTGCTAGGTCACAGGACAGACCGTATTTATTATTATTTTATTATTCATTTAATTTAACCTTTGTGTCAGTGGTGTTTCCTTGTTCTTGGTTCTTAGATGTTTGTTCATCTTTATTACTGGTTTCTGGAAAGTAGAATTAGTGGTTCCTCTTTTCTGTAGAGCTGTTGTAATCAACTTGTTTTGTTTGTTTTTTTTCATTTTGCTGATCTGTTAGATATTTCTGTGTTGAATTATTTAAGTATTTTTACAATTTAAATTTAATTCTATAGTATATTTTCTATATTTGTGTAGTAAATTTCTCTACATCACAGCTTCACATAGTATGGGTTTAACTGTTGCCTTTTACTGCGCTGTATTTTTATTCATTTATTTATTTTACTATCAAACTATTTTACCCAGAAACATCTCTATTACTCACAAAAGATAGTTCACAATTTGAAAAATGACAGTGAACGTGATTAAAGTTTTGCATAACATTTTGAGAATAATGTTATATTTTATATTATTTTATATTAGTGAAATATATCCTTCCACCTCAGAGTGTTTCCAGCTCCTCTCAGTCTTTGGTCCAGTGACAAACTACAGTATGATTAACAGTCAGTTTCACTGTCGTCCTTCAGTGCAGATCCTTTCTAAACGGCTTGCTGCTCTCTAGTGGTCATCGTTGTGTATCACACACAGAGGAATTGGTGGTTGTTCAACAAATCAGAGCTGCCCAAGCCGGGGTTTAAAACTGTGAGTACCATGTTGGCTCGACATCCACACTGGACTGCGCCTCTTGTCCAAATGTAAGTCCGTCATAAACTGCAGTGTAACATGTAGTTTTAGTGAAGAGACAGTCACATCAGAAGAAGAAGAGGTTGGACCTACAACAGGCAACCAGCGTTCAGGGATTAGCTCACTATAGGAACACTGTAGAGTAAAAAAACAACAACACTCACCATCACTACCAGGTGTGTTTAATCAAACTGTTGTCCCTTAATCCACCCTTCAAATCAGTCTGAGGACGACACACTCAAGGTGGCGACACGGAGCTTTAGCCACCAGATGAGATGTCAGTGTAAAAGGTAAAAGCTCAGAATAACGTGGAAAAGTTTGTACATCTACTCTGTTAAGGCAGTCAGGTCACAGATTAGGGAGCGTCTGACACTTGGTGTGAATCTGACGCTGGATTACACCTTAGTTTTTTGTTTTTGTTTTTTTATAAATGAAGAAATCGTGTAGGCCTCACTCCCAGCCCTGACACTCACTCACTGTCTCTCTCTTTGTTATTTTACCTATTTTTATAACAATAATATAAGGTTTTCTTAATTATTATTTTATTATCAATGTATTTGTTTATATCTATGTTTTGGATGTTAAGACAGAGGGGGATTTTATTTTAATTAATGAATGAATTGGTTTTTAGAGTGCTGTTGTGGAACAGATTAAATTTGTACCTCGAAGCCCCACTGTGTGTGTTTGTGTGTGTATATATATTGATGATTTGATAAATTATTGATTAATCGTGATGGCAGTCAAACATTGTTTATCAAGACAAATCAACAAATCAAATTCCTAAATATGACAAAACTTTTACTTATTTATTGCTTGAACAGACAGACACACAACAGCAGCCAGATACAGAAACATTTGTCGGTGGATTTTAGTCAACATTTGCTCCGTCTTGACGGTGGTCTGTAAAATGTGGGGGTCAGGGGAGGTTTCTTTCCAAACGTCACTGTCTTTCCAACATCATAGAGTGGATTAAAAAAAGAAACAACACTCAGATAAATCACATTCATCTTCAGAACCATTTAACAGACCTCTGAACCTCGCTGTGTTTCCCCTCGACCACATGACACACAGTACTTCAAACCAGCTTCTCTCGTTTGTTTGTTTTTTTTTCACAGTTCATTGCGGGACTCCAAACTCCCCTGTGTGTCAACGACGACCGTCCACTTCATCAGTCCATCGGCCCTTCATCAGATGTTTACGTCACGGACATCTGTGGGTGTGGACGAGAGGTCCTGCCCCTCACCACTGTTCTTAGTTTCCATAGTAACCGTGTGTTGCTGCCGTGCCTGTCCGAGGCTGGTTTCTAGCAGCGACTCTATTTGTTCCTGACACGCTCTGAGACAGTCCTGAGGAGAGACAGACCGGGTTAGTGTGAGTACCACACACACACACACACACACACACACACTTAGATCAGTGTGAGCAGTTATCTCACCGGGTCGCTCCTGATGGTCTGTGCAAGCTGCTCTGTCAGTTTCTGGGACATGGATGTGTTCCCCAGCATCTTCAGCTGTAAGCCCTCCACTGCTGCCACCATGCTGCCGGCCGCCACCATGGACGGGGGGCTGGCGATGAAATTGGTGTCTGTGAAGCATCAGAACAAATCTTTGTTAAAAAAAAAAAAAGAAAAACTCCCCTCAGTCACACCTAAACACTGAGTCCAATCAGATTTAAAGCACTTTTAAAGCACTTTCAGGGTCAGTTTCTAACCTCCAAACTCAAAACGCTGTTGTTTTGTTTTTCTTTCGTGATGAGTCTTTGTTTTAAGTTGACTGTTATTTGGTAATGATATATGAATAATGCAGGATGAACGTTAATCAACGCTTTGGTAAAAAAGTATATTTTTTTTATTGTGGAAAATTGAACGTTAGTCAGTTTTGGTTGATTTCAGTCTGTCGTGGCTAATGGATGTGTGGTTCATTTTTGGAACCAGTTGTCCACTGAAAGAGGTCAGCTTTCCATCTGTCAGCACTGGACTTGTAATTTGAAATTATCAGCACTTTGTCAGTTAATGGGATTACACACAAATCCCTGTTTTACCCCAGTTGCATAAACCTTAGTGCTACAGGGTCTGGGTCTGCATCTGTCAGACCAAAACAGATAGACGGGCAAATGGATTTAGCCAAGTGGATACTGAACTATAACAGGAAGCTGGAACGAGCTGTGATTGTGGTTTGGACGACGGTTTAGAAATCAGCTACAGACTACACACACACACAGAGATGTGTGTAAGATGTCTACCATGTGTTGTATATTATACATTATTTGAACATTGCGTACCTGTGGCACAGAGCGCCACAAAGGTCTGAGCGTGCTTCCTGAGTATGGACCGGCACTCTCTTCTGACGGGCAGCCGGGACAGGAAGTGGTCGATGAAATCCAGTGGCGTCACAGAGGCCAGGTCCCACTTGAGTTTGTTCAAAACCAGCAGCTCCATTTGCTATGATTGGATGAAAAATTAACAATGAGAGATAGAGTTTGGAACGTGAGACCACACCAGGATAAACAGAGTTAGAATTTTTTTCAGAGTTCTCCTCTGAGGAGCGTAGCTGACGTACCAGCAGCTGAGACGTGGTGATGGAGTTGTCTGTGTAGATGCAGAGCTTCTCGGCGGTCAGTGGGATGGTCTCCTTTAGTTTGGATGCCAGGAACATACAGGCAGCTCCCAGTAGCTGCAGGTGGTTCTTCTTGACGGGCTCCACAGACAGGAAGCGGTCCATGTAGTTCATGGCCAGAGGGAAAACCTCCTCTTCACACCTTTGCTCCTCACACACCTACACAGACAAACCAAGATCAAAGAGTCAGCTGTAAATAAGTGATAATAAATGATGTCATAAAAGAGCAGAAATGTTGATTACAGTCAGACCTGCCGCCTGTTAGTCAAACTCTGTTCTAATTCGTGATCAACCAAACAACTGTCCTGTATTTGGGCTTTTTTTTTAAACAATTTCTTAAGGATTTGGAGTCGACCATTTGTAGAAACTGCACTACTGTAGAACATCTAACTAAAATTAAGCTGTTTATAGGTCAAACTTGTTGGTCCTATTTTAGCTGATGGCCAATCTTTAGCTTCTTTTAAATAAATAATTGGTATTTCTTGGCAAGTTTTAGTTTTTGACTGTTGTTGTCTTTTAGCTAAAATCCACTGATTTTTAGACTTTTAACGTCAGTATATTTTACAAATTGACTATGACAAAAAAAACTAATATATTTCCATTTTTCGTCATTTGCACTTTACTTTATTAAGCCTGTAAAAAGGGATTTTTCATGTTTAAAAAAAAAGAAGTACATGTGCAAAGTCCTCGCGTTTAAGCAACTTCTTCTGTGATCTGATCATTTTATAACCTTATTACATTAACCTTTCGCGTATTAATCAGTAATAACGCACTTATACGTGTCTGTGACCCATAACCAACGTTCCCCTGAACCGTCACTGGGCCGCGGTCTCTGTGTTTTCCGCACTGGTTCAGCGACAACGTGATTCTCTTTGTACTGCAAGTCGCTCACGCTCACCTCCAGCACCCAGGTGGCCGCTATCCTCCTCATGTACGGAGCGATTTCTCTCTGGACGCATTTAAAGTAGTTCGAAGCGGGGAGGTAATTCTCCTCTGCCCGCAGGAGAGCTCCCAGGACCCGGTCCGTCAACAGGTTGGAGTCCCGGTAGGCCCTGGCAGGCCTGTCCCCCTCACAGCACAGCAGCTGGGGCTCCATTCCCCCGAAACTTCTGCCACGAGCCGAGTGTCTTCCAGCGGTTTCCGTCCACTCCTCGCGGCGACGGACTTAAATTAATAATAAGTAAAAAAAAAAAAAAAAAAAAGTCGTCCAGTCCCCTGACAGTGATATAATATCAACTGGTCCACATTTTAACCGAAAAAAAAAAATTCGTTCTCTCGTTATTTCTGAAAGAATTCACAACTTACAGTGTCGCTCGGGACACTTTTGAGAGATGTAATAAATGAAAACATTCCTCGATAGACTTCGTCGAGTCACTTTGTGACTTCATTCATCTCCAGTCAATCTATAAAACACTTTCTTTTGTTGGAAAAAAAAGAAAGAAAGTGTGTTATAGAAACAGCATCTCCCAGAGAGCTGCTGAGGTTTACTAACAACACCGCTGTGGCTGCGGCGTTTATAAATTCTACGCGTCAAGTTGAATTGAGTGGCGTGTGTTGCCACATCCGGTGAAAAACTTCAAAATAAAATACAACTTAGAAAATAAAACCTTTGCGAGCGCATTAATGTCTGCCGTATGATCATTAGTATAACATTTTCTAACTGATTTTTTAAAATGTTTTTAGAAAGTGTCTGACATTATTGTAAACATGCTCAGGCATAAATCTCAGGCATCTTGAACAGTTTTGACATCTTGTATTTATTGAATTTTATGGAGTTAGCCTCAATTTACAGTATATGGCATTACGTAATGCTCTTTTTTTTTTAAAAGGAAATATAATAATAATAATAGTACATTTTTCCAATGCAATGTTGTATTGTTGACACAGCATTGTTTTAATGTTAACATATTTATATTTTGGTGTTCATTTTTTGATTATCAATATGATACAGTGATATATACATATAATTATTATTATTAGATTTTTTATTATAATTCGTGGTGTTGATGAAGAATACCTGTTTTTCTCCAGTTCACGCTCTTATACGCAGCAATATAACCATTAGTGTTACTGTATCAACATACTTGCGTCGGTCACTTCCTTTTCCATTTCCTCTGCAGATCCGCGGTCCTCAGACCACACTGATGTGGGAGAGTGACAAAGCAGAGACAGCGTTCTATGCAGCCAACTCTCTCTCTTTCTCTGTCTCTTTCTCTCTCCCTGACCTCTAACCTCACTTTCTCGGGGTGGCCAGGCCTAGGGTCATACTCTGGACACCGCATACAAAAGCAGTGCATAGATTCTATTGATTCGTCATGATTGATCCCGACTACAATAGAGAGTGATCTGTGGCGATCGGCTTCGCTAACCTTCTGCTAAGCTGTCTCTTAATGTTGTAGGACGGGATTTGTCCTGTAGAACTTCAGACCTGGGCTAGAAAAAAAACAGTAGAAAGTTTCAACTCAAGTCATCGGGACAAAAGTGACCAGAATCACCAGATAAACCTTCTGGTTTTCACCACTTGTGAGTTAGAAGTGATATTACATTTTTTTTGTTTCTTTAATTTAACCAATCACTGGCTGCGTCCGAATGTTGTGTCGTCCAACTTTAACGTCTGAGTAAACACACAAACACAGCTTTATTGACATCACAGCAGGTGGAGAATGAAAGAAGCCGAGATAAAGAGTGTGTGAACCGCAGTAATGACGCCGAAGATAAATGTAGTGGCAGCTATAGAAAGAGCACGCACACACAGGAGTGTCCATGCTGAGGAATCTAACTCCACGGGCTTTCAATAGAGATAAATGAAGATAAACAGAGCCGACAGGAGGAGTTCACAGGAACCTAAAAGGAGAGTAATGGATGAAAATGTCTTTCAGCCCCGGTGCAGGATTCATTGAGTTAGGCCACTAACATTCCTTTGTCAATACAACACGGGACACGCTTGGAGCTTTAGTGTCTAACTCTGCCACCGTTCATCAGGGATGTCTTTGGATTCATCTGGACAGACTAAATATATCAGAGGGAAATTTCATTTCATTTCTTAGATGACGTGTTCCTTTGGTATGGACTTTGTGTGTACAGTAGTTTGATTGTGCAGCAGCAGCAACATAATTAGTAAATAGTTAATTTTAAAAAAACCAACCCATAATAACATGGACTCCATTACTGCAGTTCTAATGTCAACACATAAACATTTTTACTATCATTTCAAAGTTTCACAGTACTGCATGGAAACGGCACACACAGATTAAACATACAGTACACACCAGGACCTCCACCCAATCAGCACACAGCGGCAATTAAGAAGGTTAAACAGACCAGGTCATAGTTTATTCACCAGGGGACACTGCAGCTGTGGTCTGTGGAGCTGATGTCCTGTGTACAGAGTTTGGAGCAAATTCCAAACCCCAGTCCTTTGCTGAGCTTTGCAGAAATAAAAAGTTGTGGAGTATAAACAACGACAGCAACACAAGGTCATACAACTGTTGATAATTAACATTTTGACACACACACACACACACTATCACAATTAAGCTATAATCTTGAAGGCGGTGCAGTTGGCTTTGTTTCTGAGCTGGGTAGTTGTTGTTATGTAATCTGTTCACAGTTTCAGAGTTTGACTTTTGACGGAGAATGCTGACACTGCAGATGTGGTTCTGTGGAAGAGCAGCCCTGCTGGTGACTCTGGATGTATTTGTGACGGTTGAGTTCAGGCTCAGGGGCATCAGGTCTATGTGAAGTGTTCACAAAACACTAAAACCTGTGAGTGTGTGTGTGTGTGTGTGTGTGTGTGTATCTTGGGCACGTCAGTGTCTCTTAAGTCTTTGAATGGTCTGCTATCACGGCAATCACGTCTGGACACCAGGACATAGAAACAGAGAGAGAGTGAGAGAGAGGGACGAGACGTCTTTGCAAGGAATCTGTCCTACCCCCCCCTCCCCCCCCGCCTCCCCTANCTCCATTATAGGCAGCAGCAGCAGCAGTAGTAGTGGCCCTCATTTCTAGAGTTGGGGGGGGGTTGGTGTAATCTTCATTTTACTACTAGTACTTCAACTACTACTACCAAATGTCAAAACTTAACGAATGATCGCACCGAGGGTTTTCTTTGCAGACTTTATATTTTCATCCATGTGATTTGATGTTTAGATGTTATTCACAGACTCAGCAAAATGTCCAAGTGGCAGGTGACAGGATTTACTTTCGTTTCCAGTGAACGGAAGAGACCTTTTCAGATGAACCATAAAACATTGTCAATAACCCAAACCTAGTTCCAGTGTCCACACTTTTACTAATAATTAACTCATCGATGACCACACCTCACCTCCCACGCAATGAAATTAGCACATTCTAAACTGTGGAAAAAACCACCACTACAGTACTGTTCAGCCTCGTGGTTCAGTGAGGATCCAGATGACCCCTGTTGACCTCCATGTATGTACGTATATGTCCCCAAGTGTCTGCTAAAAGTTTCAAATCATTAAATCCCGACACTAAATCTTGACGCGTTTGCCACTGACCCTGAACCTAAGTCGGTACCATCCCTGTTTTAAATGGTCAAATGTGAATGTGGCCCAGAAGAAAGAGTTGAAAGAAGAAAAAGAGATTGTTTCCCCATAAAAGCTTTCTAAACCCTGGGTACAAACACAATGGGCCATAATGAAAAGATGGATAGAGTAATTGTCTTGTTAAGTGATCCGAAAAGACAGGCAAGGAAGGGGGTGGAGTGGCTGACGGCGTGTGTGTGTGTGTGTGTGTTTCTGTGTGTGTGACACAGCACACTGAGAGGCCAAGGGTGCTAACAAGAGGAAAACGCCAAGACAATGCGATCCTCAGTAGGAGCCCCTCACTCCGTCTCCAACCCCCAAAGACGCAAGGAAGCAGCAGAGTTTGGTTGAAACAGTCGACCAAAGTAACCAGTGACGTCAGTTTCATATTGGACTTGAGTTGTTTTATTCTGGGTCATATTCAACATGACCATTACTGGTTATGGTAACAGGCAGTGGTTCATTCCATGACAGGATAACCTGGTGTTCTCCCTTGACTTAAGGCCATTTAGACCATTGTTTCCAAAGACTGGGTCGCGACCCTCAGGTGGGTCGCAAGAGTTTTTTGGTGTTTTTTGGGTCGTCTCGCATCATGTTTCCCAGGAGTTAACGAATAATGTCTATTGACTTGGGTTGTGATTTTCAAAATATGGGTGTCCAGAGAAAAAGTTTGGGGGAAACACGTATAGTTTTGAAATAGTTTTTTAATGTGAAAATTCTGCAGTTCCCCTACAGTCTGTATTTGTTTATATTTTCTGTTCTATTTATTCAGATTTAATATCTAGTGTCTGTGTGTGTCTGTGTGTGTGTGTGTGTTCCCTCACGGTTTAGCGTTCTTGATATATTGTGTGAAGGAGCTTTTCTCCTTCTTCACTGCAAATGACCCAGCAGCAAATGGTAGTTCAGGACAGGAGGGGGGTGATGACCCTTGACCCCCTGTCTCTTTCTGTCTAATCCATGACAGCCATGAACCTCGAAGCTGAGAGTTATACTCGGCTAAAACCCTTTTTCTCAACCCTCCACTGCACTGCAGCTACTCCTCTCATCTTTTCTTGGCTACACCCTCCACCCCGTGACCCCTAACTTCCATTTTCATTCTCACTTCTTTCTTCTCGGCGTTAACCTCTGAACGAAACCCACCAAACACTCCCTTGTTATGACTGTTTGTCTTCCTCTTTCCTGTCCCAGTTATGGCCTGCTCTCTAAGGCTAACCATAAATATAACAAAGCAGACGTAACTATCCCCTTTAAAAGTGAGCGCCTAGTTAACACTTTAAAAGTGGGAAAGTGATGCTGCTTTGTCCGCTTAATACTAATCACCGTAGCTGGTTTCCAACTTACAAGACAAATGGCCCTTTAAGCTTATATGGAAAATAGCTAGCTAACAGCTTTCAATCAAGAGGAAAGCTAACCTTTGATTGTCATTACATTATAATATAAGAGTTTGAGGTGACGCTGTTTGAAGTCTGTGTGGCTGCTGATTTATTTATTTTGCTTCTGCTGTTTTCAGGCCAAAGCTCAGATGGCAGTTAGTTTAGCTTAACTTAGTTTAGCTTATTCTTCAAGTTTCGCAGAAGAAGAAAAACCGGTGAGCAATTTATTCATGACAATCACTAATGCAGTGTTTCCCAACTGTGTCTTGAGCCACGGCACGTACAAAACAAAAATGTCACTAAAAGTATCTGTAATGAAATATAATAATCTTCAAGTTTCGTCATAATTGACGAAAAAATCGGCCTGTTTAGTTGAAGACAACGTTGATATACTGGCAGGAATTGAAGAAAGACACTTCTTCGTCGATCTTCTTCAACAGCTCTGATTGTCTTTTTTTTTAGTTTTAATAACCATCTGCTGCCACCTAGCAGAAGAGGATGTAATTGTTCTGCCTGTCACGCATTGACAAATAAAGAAAAAATATTTGCAATAAATAAATAATAGTTTTGGGACCAATTAAGTGACATTGGATGTGTTTCCACGGCACAGCAGTTGGGAATCACTGCACTAATGTAACTCATGCTAACTGTAATGTAAAGGTGTGATTTGAGGGAAAGGTGACATTGTTTCATTTTTAAGAGTATCAACAGTGCTAGCATATGTTGCTTATGCTAATTTCTGTAGGTAGGCAAAATATACTGTGATGAAGACAGGAGTCCTGCCACGGTGCAGCCCCCGCCCTGCGAGTTAGACGAGTGTTTTTCAGTTGATCTTGGCAGTCACACGTGAGTTT